AAAAAAATATGTGAGCTCCAAGAAACCTTTCGGGATCGCATCTTCATTTTCGCAATCGCGAAGAACAATAGGCACACCGGCAAATCAGCAGTCCAAAAACATGGAGAAATGGCCCGTAGCCCATCTGAAATACATATAAGGCCCCCGGGAACTCGTTGAAACATACCAACAAGTTTCATAACATAATGCGGACCTACTCGAGGCCTCAAATCACATCAAGACTACGAATCTCACCTCAAATCGATTTGTATAAACTTATGAACTGTCAACTTCTACAACTCGCGCTGAATCAAATCAAATCAGCCCGGGATAACGTCATTGCATGCAAGTCACAAATGACACAATGGAGCTATACCAACTCTCAAAATCGAAATCCGAACCTGATATCAGCAAAGTCAACTCCCGGTCAAACCTCTCAACATTCCAAACCTTCAACTTTCCAACTTTCGCCAGTATATATCAAATCAACCTACGAACCTCCAAATCCAAATTCGGACATACGCCTAAGTCCACAAACACCATACCAAGCTATTGGAATTATCAAAACATCATTCCGGAGTATTATACATAAAAGTCAAACTCCGATCAACTCTTTTCACTTAAGCTTCTCACATAAGAATTGTTCTTCCAAATCAACTCCGAATCATCCGCCAAAGGCCGCGGAGTGTCCACTGCAGAAAAGACGACATGACATGATCAGTAAGCAAGTACTGCAACTTCATCATAGAACCATGCATATTAAGTCAATTATTATTTAGAGATCCAATATCAACTAGCTCAAGTTAAAAAAAACTGTCCCAGTCCTGTTAGCAAAGGAGACACTGAGATAATAATTACATTTCAGAACACCTGCTACATTGAGTTGTACACGGATTTTTCAAAATGCACATCTCATACATTTATGCTAGGCCATTAAGATGAATTTGAGATGCTCTTGGGAATTGATTGTCACTCACATTTTTAGCCACAAAAAGAACAACAATTAGTGTGACCAGTAAACATCCTGCTGCAATTCTTGCTGTAAGGAGCTTGGTGGATGCAAGCACTAATACCATTCCCCAAAATGCTGAACCAAGATCTATAAACGAGAAAATAAAGTCGATTCCATGATCCAAACAAGATTGTCATGTGAGTTAACATCAGTCACTGAAAGAGAAAAACTCATTATAGGCATGTTACAGATAGTAATGTTTATTTAGACATAAGAAATATGGAACATTATTCTAGTACCAAGATTATTTACATATCAAATCAACCAAGACAAACAAAATCAATAAGTTCACAGTTCATTTTGATAAGAACTTTGCAGCCACTGAAATTAAAATGTAACTAGAGAAGTGATAAAAATATACATCCAGCTGGCAAGATGAACCAATATACGCCACCACGTGTTTGTGTAGTGCCACCTTCGTCAGCATGAACCTGTATCCCCTCAACCTGCAGGTGAATACAAGCTTCATAAAATCAGCTAAAAGAGGAAACACAGATCCATTCTGTCACATAAGGCTGAAGATAGGACTATTTATTAATTGGTATGTACACAGTCATATATGTGGCAATGGCATAGCTAATAAATAGTTCCTAAAACAATGTTCCCAATTACTCAGAAATATGCCCGGGTATAAGGAACTTGAAACAAGCACTGAATATGTTCAGGGTTTTCTTTTTCTCACTACTGCTATGAAGCACGATAGTACAACAGTTCGAACTGTAATAGTATACTATTAGCTAACATCAATCGAAAACTAATTTTCTTTTCTGGCAGTTATATTAATGAATATGTTCTGGTCAGTGAAGGATGATGCAACTTCTAAAGCTATAAATGGTGAACTATCATATTCCATCACAATATCCAACTATAAGAACACGTAATTTTCAGCTTCCAACAAGTGTCATATCTTTCAGTATTATAAAAAACTCTCTCAGGCAGGGGCGAAGGTATGTTGGCCCAAGGGTGGTCAACTGAACACTTATACGTCCGTATAAGGTAAAATATTGCTACTTGTTATTGAATAAAAAATAGACTCTGAACACCCTTGCATAGCCCACTGGCAAAGGGTGTTCAAAATTTGAACACCCTTATTGAATTTCCTTGTTTCGCCACTGCTCGCAGGAAATATGAACCAACAGTATCATACCGTAACGATTAAAAGAAAGAGAAAAGGACTCTTTACATGGCCGCAGGTAAGTTTGCAAGCTATAGCATGACTAGCTTCATGAATAAACACGGTCACAAGCTTGAAAGGTAGTAGTAGCACTGTCCTCCAAAGCTGCAAGAAAAAAATACTAACAGATTATCACCAAAAGGAATGGTCACAGATAGTCACAACAGCTTAAATTTCCAAAAAGGTAGAAGACAAGTAAACTTGAACTGTTTATACTTTACCATAACTACAACATTGACACATCATAGACAATTAAGAAGATAGTGAAAATCATACCAATCCATTGCTATGGATCCAACATGTTGGACCCTCAATTAATTCGTGATCGGCACTTTTATACTAGTTTCACCTGGTAAAAGCATCAACCCCTAGCTAGTGGCGGATATAGCACATCATCTACAGGTTCAACTTAAAAATGTAATGGATACAATAGCAAGACCTAGAGGTTGAACCATCAAATATAATTCCTAGATCCACCTCGGCCCCTAGCTCACAAGATAAATAGTACGTACTTCATTCAGCACTCACAAGTCTGAGTTTGCTGATGAAAAGAGGCCAAAGGTAATTAACTGCTTAAGAAAAGCTAGCTCAACTAGTATTCTACAGTAGACAATGGTAGTTAACGCTTCGAAACGAAAAAAAAAAAGGAGGAAAACAGAGCACCCATAAAGAGGGAAAGGATCATTCCAAGCGATACACATAACATTTCCACAATTAAGATCCATTGTTAAAATCAAGCAATATTTTTTTTTTTTTTTTTT